TCACTCTCTACGCCCACGCTAGAGGGCAGCACAAGAAACTTTCAAACAGGAAGGAGCTTGAGAAACGGTTTAACTTCCGTGTTGCCCGTCTTTAACTTCCTGATCGCAGTTTTTCCTGTCCAGCTGCACCGTGGTTTCTTGTGCTTGGCCGCCTTAATTTATTGGAAGATGAATACGGTTTTATCGAGAGCAAATTCTCTCTTTGCCTTTTCACTCAGTGTGATGGCGGCCCTCACTTTTGGCTGCTTTATCACCACGGCGTTCAAGGACAGAAGCGTCCCGGTGGACATTAGTGTTTCCAGAGTGATGCTGTAAGTACAGATGCTTTTCTGATGATTTTTAACCCTCGGGTTTAACTTCATTGATTCATTCCCCCTTGTGGTCGCGATTTGTTTTTGTTTTTGTTTTTTTTTTTGTGGTTAAGAGAAGCGGGTGCTGAACAAATTGCGATTAAGGACGCGAGCCAGCAGTTAGTTCATGAATTTTCAAAAGGTTTCTGTTCGTGCACGCATCCGCTATGAAGGAGATGAATGCAGTTCCCTGCCTTTCGATTTACTTTACTGAATAATATCCTTTATTATAAACTCATCGGCCTGTATCGTAAGCGCACAGTTCTCCTATGCTTTTTATTTTTTTTTTTGGAGCTGCTATTTACGGGAGCCCGTCAGGCATTTTATGAATTATAGAGTTTTAAACGTTTAAATTAAGAAGAGCACACCGTAAGACATGCAGGTCTTTGCTGAAGTGCATTCGTCTTTTCACTCTGATCCCCTCCAGCGTCTCCTGATCTCTTACCTATGATATAGCAGTTTACCCAATGGGCGCCGGGCACGTCATTTAATGCTGCTCCGTGGGTCTCAAGCAGCCTGCAGCGACATACAGGCGTACACAAATAAAGTGTGCAGATGTGTACGTCGGAAACCGGTGCTCAGAACTCCGGATACGTTTTTCAACTTAAAAAAAATACCTTGTCTGAATTTTAAACCCCCTTTTCCTAGAAAAAAAAATCAATAATACACTTTCGTACTGCAGTATTCTCGATCTCGGTGGCGACAGAAAGGTCCCTTTAATAGAGTAGCTATCTTTGCCATGAGCACAGGATCTGAGCGATTGCGTCTTGGGTGCGCTTGTGCGTAGCTCACGTTGCTCTCCTGACAGCTTTTTACGCCAAAGCTGCCTCAAAACAACAACAACAACAAAAAAAAGATCAATTAAACGCGATTCCTATAACTTACAGGAATTTGCAATTTTACCTCGTCGGCCATCGCAGTCATGAGTGGGATCACTGACCACATTATGGTGCACTTTTTGTCTCGAGTAGTTTTAGGAAATTTAGTTTCTCTGCGTGACCTGTTCCTCTTCTGAGAAGTACGTCATCAGTGGATGTGTAGAAAACACAGGCTTTTAATCCTTCTGCCACTTTTATTTTTTTTAATCTAACCAGCGAAGACAGTAATGGCTTCAGACATTTTATTTATAGCTTTGATGTTGCCAATTTGTATTTTTTTTCTGTGTGGTAGTAGTTAATTGCAAATGGGAGGCTTCTACAGGCCCCACACTATTCCTACAGTGAAAACAGGCAAGTTAGGGGTCTGCTGGTGAGCACCTGGTTCAATCTGTACTAGTGGACCACTGTTTCAGCAGTGTCATCAGTGAGGACTGTGTAGATGCATTCTTTGTGTGTCACTGTGTCTGCTGTCAGCGCTTCACGGCTCAGGCAGCTGACTGTGACAATATAACTATGTAGCCTCTGCATGTTAAGCTCATACGAATATATATACACCTGTAGTGCAAGCGAGATGTGGAGAGCCTGGGAATGCAGTGTGTCTGAGGACAGGTGTGGCTTGTCTTCACATCTCCAGGTGTTGTCGCAGAAGCTGGGGTCAGCAAGGTGCAGAGCAGCATGACATAGGGGTCATTCGTGCTTTCTTTGACATCCTCAGCCTGTGCTTACCGTGTGTGTGAAAACCACAGTAACTAGGCGAGAGGCATGACAAGATTGAAAGTCCAGGTGCTGTTGGTTCTATGTAAATGTCATGGACGTTTTACAGGTATCGCTGAGAAGTGCAGTAATAGTAACTGAAAACCAGTGCACCATAGAAAAGGCTTACTTGGAAACGGAATTAATAATGATTTTTTTCCCCCTTTCAGAAAAAATGTGGATGATTTCACTGGACCGAGGGAAAGAAGCGACCTGGGTTTCGTCACCTTTGACATTTCAGCTGATATCCTTTAACGGAACAGTTTTAGGAATTTCTTTCGTTTTGTTTTCTATTGCATTTGTGAAGTTAAATCCACTTATCCCTGTTAAATAGTAAGTAGTTTGGTGAAAGTTTTTGGTTTAGACAAATTGTTTAGATGAATTTCCACATAATGAAGCCATATTTTGAAGAGTCGGGAGAGTTTAAATGAGGGAAAGGTGGATCCATTTAGATCAAATTGATTATACATCACAATTTCCTCTTGTCACTGTCAATAGCAAAACAATGCTATTTTCTAAATTTTGTGGCTCTAATAAAGTTAATAAAGGTATAAGCACACTATACACATGCACTCATATAGCAAAATGTTATGAAATTGTAGCTCTGTGCATACATTATATATTCTTCTTCATCTGCCTTTTAAACCTAATCTGAGCATTGAGCTTGACACTTTTATTATAATAATAATAATAATAATAATTGCTTACACTTATATGCGCTTTTCTGGACACTCCACTCAAAGCGCTTTACAGGTAATGGGGATCCCCTCCACCACCACCACCAGTGTGCAGCCCCACCTGGATGATGCGACGGCAGCCATAGTGCGCCAGAACGCTCCCCACACACCAGCCACCAGTGGGGAGGAGAGCAATGTAGCCAATTCATAGAGTTGAACCTCTAAACTTCTGAACCTGGTTTACTTCAGGGGTCACTGTCATGTGTTTTTCTATATAGAACATTGAATATCACACATAACTGAAGGGGTGCTGTTCTTAGGACATAGAGCTGATGTAGCCTCTTCTTTTCAAAGTGTTTCAAGAGCCACGGCGGTGAATCGTTCTTGTGGCAGGGGCAAAAGGGCCAAGATTGTGAATTACATTGTGATTGACTCCCTGTCCTGTTTTGATCTTTGACGGCGATCACATCTGCAGCCAATTTTCGACTGGAATGTCAAGCAGCTTTTCCTCTACTTGTCTGCAGAGTACTCGACCAAAAGCAATGTGAGTGAGCTATCTGGTTTTGTTTGCAATTTCTGGTAATGGAAATACCTGGTAATGGAGACGAAGCTGCTTTGCTAAAGATGACGGCGGTTTCTTTCAGGCCCTTAATCAAGTGGTTCTGTGGGATAAGATCGTTCTGAGAGGAGAGAGCACAAAGCTGTCTTTGAGAGACATGAAATCAAAATACTTCTTTTTCGATGACGGCAATGGCCTTCGGTAAGAGTTCATTTATTCACAGTGTAATACGGTACAGATTTATTAAAATGTAGTGAATGTATACCATTTAAAATAGTTGCACTGTTTAACAGAAGGATCGAGCTGCTGTTCTTGGTCTTTACTATTCTTTCTTTCCACCCAGTGTAAATATAACTTGGTAACTGAGATTTGGCCCATATTAAAATCTCTAAATTCAAAGACTGCTAAGTAAATACCTTTAATTTGCACATTGTAATGGACACTTTTTAATTTAATTTTTAAATACTTATTTCTTTTTCCCAGAAATCTTATTTGTAAAATGCATAAAACCAAGTCAAATCAAAACCACAACTCTGTACGGCTTTTGTGAAAGAAGTGTTTTATTTTTTAACTCTGCCAACTTCCTTTCTTGGACCGATGAAATTCTGTGATTTGGCTCTTTTTATATACCAATGCTGAAATTACACAACATACAGCCAAAAAAGACTTTAAAAATGTTGTTTCAATGTTAATTACTTCCACTGTACAGTAGATGGCGATGTTTAACACGATAAATTTAGTATGCACATTTGTGTTGGTGTTGGACAGCCTTGCATTTTCAGCAATTTGAAAGAATAATGAAAATGAATTCACGTGGTTTTCTTTCAGTTGTGGTCAACTCTTATAACCATACTTAAAGGTCCTGTTTATTTCCTTAAGGTGATGAATGACTCAATTTTGTAGCTCCAATGAAGTTATTACAAACCGTTTCATCGTTGTGTAAGACTGAAAAGAGATTTTTTTCCATAAGTTGAGTATAACCTTGGAGTATTGGTGTTACTCTTTTTGCCTATTTCAGATGCAGTCACTCTTGCTGCTCTACTTGATATATTTGAGACAAACAGAGTCTAACAGTTTTTTTTAACATAACATTTTGAATGACTACTAATGAAAGGAATTTTTCTGGCAGGGCAAATAAAAACATCACTTTGACGTTATCCTGGAATGTCGTGCCAAACGCCGGGATTCTACCTCTTGTCACGGGCTCAGGACACAAGTCAATTCCATTTCCAGATTCTTATGAAACCACCAAGAGCTATTAAAATGTTTGTAAATGATGTGCAATGGTTTATGGGTTTTAATAAAAGTTCACAATGTGAAGCCATTGTATTGAATGTTTTTTTTAAGCATTTTAATTAAAGACATTTGGGAACATAGATTTGAGTTTTCTTTAAAGAGTCAAAATCGAAAGCGTTCTGTTCCTAACGTTCTCCTTATGTAAAATTACTACTTTTTCTGTCGCAAAAGGGACAAAAGGGATCTGAAATTCTGAAATAAAACATTAAAACTTCTAGTACAGTGTAAACCTTGATTTTTAATTTAAATTTTAATTTAATTTCAACTTTAAGAAATCGATCACTTCACATTTGTAATTTCTCTCCCTCTTTGTTATTAAGTTTGCTTAAAATGCCAAAATCTGTTTTCTGCCTTTACAGTTTAAAATAGGGCTGATAAAACCAGTATAAAAACGGCAGATTTCTGCCGTTTTTAACATTTATAACATCTGCAATGAAAACTGTGATTTTCATTATGGTATGTTGTAGTTTTAAGGACTGAACAATAAAAAAGAATAGATACTGCAAATCTGGCAGAAGGTGTAGAACATATATTTTGAGAAACATTTCAATAAATACCAGTTGTGCTACAGTTTGTACATAAATGTGAATATTTTGAGATGTTTGAGTTATAGTAGGGTAACCCCGTCCTGAATTTGCTGTGACTGTAAGGTTCTCTCTCTGCTGCAATAAAACTTGAATATTAACAAGAGGGAGGACAGAGTATGTTCTCCCTTCTGAAGCTTTTGAAATAATTACCTCTAATGGTTGACACTGTTAATTAGTCGATTACACCATCATGCCCTGCTGAATCAAATAGAAAGGTGCAGAAGTAAACATGTTAGTGAACGTGCTTTTCGAAAACTCAACATTATTTTTGCCAGCAGGTGTCAGTATGTGCCTACTGTAGATTGTAGTAAGACATATGTAGAAATGATATCCATCCATTTTCTAACTCCTTTATCCAATGCAGGGTCACGGGGACTGCCAGAGTCTAACCCCACCAGCAACAGGCGTGAGCCAGGTTACACCCTGGATAAGATGTGAGGAGTATGAGGAGCCCTCCCACACACACAAACACACGTCCAAGCCAATATTTCCAAGAAGCCAGTTAACCTGGACTGTGAGACGAAACTGGAGCACTGGGAGAATATACGAAGTTAGAACCCCAGCACTGCAAGACACCAATTCTAACTACTCTACCACCATGCAACCCCCTAGAAAGTATATTTCTAATTTTAATGGCAACTGAAATGTAGAAATATTTATCTAAGCAGCCCCCCCCACACACACACACATCTCATTCTGCTACCTACAAAGGAATAGACAACCATTTTAAGTTGATATTTCCGGAGAATGCAATACAAAATGAGAGGACGTTTTGTCCACTGTGAAATTGATCTATTTTAGTGCGGTAATTGAGGAAATTAAATATCATTTTGCAATTCTGAATAGTCAGCGCCATTTCATGATAGTAACTTAAACCTTTAAAGATGTTAAAGGTATTTATGTATATAGGGTATTACTCTAATCATTGTGATACTTAAGATCAAAGTATAATTTTCTGGTTTCAGATGTGATATCCTGATTTAACGATTATACTTCAGCTGTGAAGTTTTAATCTGCTTCAGCTCATAAGAAATTGTTCAAACTGAAGGATGTCATGAAGCCCATCTACAGTAACTTGTTTAATTGGGTTGTAGCTAATTAGACCAAGGATCTCAGCTACCTGACTCTTGAAAGAATCCAGGGTATGAGGTTTGACATCATGTCTAAGTACTGTAGCTGTTCCAGACTCCCGTGGTGTTTTGTGTAAAAACATGCCTGCTGGTCTTGCTTACTGTACTTGTTCCACTCAGCAAGTCCATCACTGAAGACATGAGCTTCGTTTGGATGACATTTCTTTTTTTTTTACCCAACTGTCGGTTATGGTTGTACGTACTAGTAAAAAAAAAGAAACTGTATAAAAAAGGAAGCCAATAGTTTTTATTGTTGGCATCATTCTTAGTTTGTAATCTAGAAGATGGTATGGCAAATATGTAACTGAATTTTATCTGTTCATTAGGCACTGTATACACTATATGATTGCATTTAGTACTATATCAAATTTAAAGTAGGGTGGATGACATGTCTAGATTTAAACTTAAGAGTTAATAAGAATACATCCATAAGACAGTAGCAAAATTATTGCAATATAGTGGTACTTCTAAGTTGTGCAGTGGACGTTTGTAGTATTCTTTGATACATGCTATAAAGCTGCATTAGGAATGAAAGAAAGAACAGGAAAACAATTGGTATGTCATTTACCTGTTCATTCCCATCCAGTTTATAACCTTCTTATGAAGTCTGGACAAGTTGCATTATGTGAAATGTATTCATATGCGAGGGGTTGTCTGAAGCTGTCATTGCCAAATGTGCTCATGAAAGAAATATTTCTGTGATACTCTGAACTGCGTGACTCAGTTCCCCGAAATGCCTTCTCGTCTTAGTACAGAGGAAAACAACTAACCTTTTTTTCTTCAGAAGGGGACTGGCAGTACTGTAGCTTCAATTACTCTGTCCTAATTTAGTGAATTCTTTCAAGTGCCCGTTATAAATTACAACTTCCTGTACCATGCTGTCTCAGAAATACCAGTAGCCTATCTGCCTTCCCAGGGTGGGACGGGTGCTTTAATGCATTGCTCAAAGGAAACCAGCAAGAACAGCCTGAACTGAATAAATCAAAGCCAGGTTACCCTGGAAATTTGGGATGTCCTCAAAATGAAAGGCATTGAATTAGAGAACAATTGCTGTAAAATACTAGTGAAAAAAGAAAAGAAAACATCAAATAACTTATGAATCACGACATACCAACCAAAGGCCTCGGACTGCAGAAAAAAAGTAAGCCATTGTGTTACTTACAATAGTAATATAAAGGCCAAGTTGGTTGACGTCACCACTGAAGTTCCGAGTAAAGAGAATCATAATAAGTAAAAATATTATCTTTAAGAGAATATAATCGAATAGTTGTATAAATATTTAAAGATGGAAAGTAATTGCAGATTTTATTGTTATTTTAAAAATTGGGGGCATATGTGTTACATGGCCTGGTTTTCCATAGTGGGCTTTCCATTTGCAAAACCACCTGCCACAGCAAAAGCAGAAAGTGTACCTGGAGAAAAATCAGGAAATCATCCAGTGGGAGTTTGCGTATCAGATACCGCTGTATTGTCAACACACACAAAGAGAACTGTGGAGCAGAGAGCTTAGGAACCTCTGAATGGAGAAAGTAGCTAGAAATTGAAAGCTGGGAAGGCTGGAATTCCTTATCATATAAGGTGGAGAAAATCTGATTTTGATCCAAAATATCTGTGAAATAATATACAGTAATAGGGCAACTGTGACAACAGTGCTGTATGAAAGGAGCATGGTTTGTTGTGCTTGATGGGCTGTTGCTATATAGTTCCCTCACCTAGGATAGAAATATGTGTTAAGAACACCTTGGAAAAGCATCCAGAAATCATCAAGAATTGGGGAAAAAAGACCCAGAGGTAAAAAGGTGAGACAGGAGACACACTGGGGAAGCAAAGTGAATGGAACAAAAATGCTTGCCTCACTGAAACTCTACCCATCCGTTATCCAAACGTGTTCCGAGTGGGGATCAGGCTCAGTGTGTGGTGCTGTAAGTAAAGGAGGACCTCAAGGTTAATTCCACCCCGAATAAAGTAAAGAGCTGTATCATCTGTTGAGATTTGTGAATGATCCTCGACATATTTCATTATCGGAAAGCTACTGGGCTTTTTTCTTCTAAAGCTAAATTCAGCTTGGAAGTTTAGTTGGCTCTGTATGCAGAAGGCGGAAAAAAAACCCGTTGGAAACTAAGCTAGGTTGAAAAACTGCGACATGATTTACTGTATAGGATATATTGCAGTACATTTTAGGAAATTTTGGTCAACATGGAAGACTGCCCCCTGATCATTTACCAACGCCACATACAGCTGCAAAACTGGATTTTCTAGAATTCTCACATCATAAAGTATCCCATAGTGCAAGGTATTAGCGCTGTTTATCAAATAGTTACCATTGCATGAGTTTTCTGGTTGTATCAGTTGTATCACTGCTATGATTCACAATCCGTTTGGTTAAGCTCCACATACTGTCTAATGGCCGTCAGGATTTTCATATTAGACGTACTGACACCTAACCAGTTCCTGTAATTTCTATCCAGTGAGATTACTTAATGGGCGCGTAGGCTGAAAAGTGCATATTCATCAGACTTTTAATGTAGAAAGTAATTCAGAGACATCTGCTTAGGGAGATATCTATTTACTGAGCAATTTAACAGGAACAATTACATCTTTAATGTGTAACAACATAATCTTCCTGTTTAAAGTGCAATAATATTTTCTCTCAGATTACCTCAATTTGTCCTAAATAAGTAATGAGCCACTATTAGCGTAAAACATAAGGAAGGGACACAAATGAGTGGAACCCATTTGGTCAATTTGTGGATGTATTAAAGAATTAGCATTAAATAAGCTTAGTACTGGCATTTGAAAAGCTTCTTAGCTTTTCAAGTGGAACCGCAGTTGAGAACATACCATCTATAATTGCAAATCTTTAACATAAATGAAATACAATAATTAAAAAAGCTTATAGTCAGCATCTTGTACTGTATGTGCAAATCTGGTGAGACAACTTGCCTTAGGTGAAAAAGAGAGAAGTTAGTTAAATGACATCTTATGACTTTACAAAGTTACTCTGTCTGAATAATTAGCATTTCGGGATTCTCTTGTGTCACTTACAATATGCTGAAAAATATCAATAACAGCTTTACAGAGAGAGTTTATTGTCACTTTTTTCTTAGTTAAAAATAGGCCTGGGGTGTGAGAATCCTTTGATTTTTCCTATGCTCTACAAATAGCTTTCTGCCTCTCCTTCCTGGACTTATTGCTAATGCTTTGCATTTCATTTTCAATCAGTCTAGACATAGTGACCCCCCACACTGAGGACCTTGCAATATTGCAAAATCCCATCCTTGCTTTAGACATCTAGCCTACCTCAAGATCAGAGCTGTGGCCTTAGATCACTGTAATCCTTGACATACTTCTGAGCAGTGTAAG